ATCTCAGTGAAAACCGGATACGCGACTCTCCGTTCGTGCTCATCATGCGGGCGCACAAAGTGCTCCGCCGCATCGGAAAAGTAACGGACGTCGCAACTCGTGTCCGTCGTGCGTCGACTCCCGCGCCGAAACCTTACAAACTTCGCTCACGCTGCTCCACGCGTTTCGCGTAGTAAAATTATCGTTCTACTCGCGGACGCTCCTTACGCTCCGTCGAGCCAATGATTCACGCGGACGCGGCTCCACGCGTTTCGCGTAGTGAAATCGTTGTGCCGCTCGCGGACGCTCCTTGCGCTCCGTCGAGCTAGTGACTCTCGCGAACGCGGCTACTCGCGTCTCGCTCGTGCATTGACTCTTGCAGAAAACGCGATTTGAGTTCCGCCCGTAGCATTGACTTTCGTCGACGCGACGAGCTCCTCGTTTCGAAAAATAATTCGCGAGTGTCGCTACGAGCGCCCCGATTCCAAACGTACCTAACGATGGCCGAGGAAACCGAGAATCTGATCTTAGCGCAAGAGTACAAAATTGGTGCTCTCAAACGCGTGCTCATCAACTACAAGAAGCTCCCGAAGGAGAGCGTGACGGTGCCGACGATCCAGAGCCGCATCTCCCAGCTGAAGGAGCTCTGTGCCGCCTGTAGCAGCCAACACGTCCTGCTGTTGCAGACCGCTACGTCCGGGAAGCTAAAGGGCCTGCCCTACTTCGTGGACAACGTAATCCTGGAAGCCGAGGACGTCTATACCAACACCAGCGACATTCTACAAAACGCGCTAAGTAGACTGTTACCCGCTAACACTAACTCTTCATTATCCGACGAGCCTGTTTCGCGCGAGTCGGGTTCTCAGATCTCGCGATTGCCACGTATATCGTTGCCAAAATTTACATCACGTATATCGTTGCCAAAATTTATCGGTAAAATCGCGGAATGGGAGAGTTTTCGAAATATGTTCGAGTCTCTCGTGACCTGTAGCGTTTCGCTTTCTAAAGTTCAGAAATTTCATTACTTAAAAACAAACGTTACTGGTGAAGCCGCGGTGCTGATCAATAACTTGAAAATTTCGGAGGCTAATTACGACTCCGCGTGGCAATTGCTGATCGACGAATACGACGACAAGCAAACCTTAGTTCATACGCATTTGCACGCGTTTGCTAGTCTACCTGTGATGCAAACGGAGAATGTGAACGACTTGCGAAAACTCCGCGATACGGTCTCTTCGTCGTTAGCCGCGCTAAAGAATCTCGATCGTCCGGTAAATGAGTGGGACGATCTGCTCGTTTATCTTATTGCTCAAAAGTTTAGTCCTCGCACTCGCAGCGAATGGAATTTGAAACGTACGGAATTCGCCAAGCTTCCGTCTTACAAAGATATTAATGACTTTCTGACTCTACGCATTCGCGGATTATCCGATCTTTCCGATTCGCCGAAGGATACTCGTCGTTACAAAGACGATAAGCCGCGCTCGTCGGTTAATAACGTCACTGCAAACAAATGCGTTGGTTGCTCCGGAAATCATTCGGTTTCGAAATGAAAAGAGTTTCTTGATAAAACGGTTGAGCAACGCGGCGATTTCGTGCGTCAAAGCAGGCTTTGCCTCAATTGTCTGAGATCCGGGCATTTCCTTCAGCAATGCCCGAGCAAATCTCGATGTTCGCACTGTAGTCGTTCACATCACTCGTTACTACATTTCTCAAATAATGTAAAAGCCGATGCTACGGCAAATTCTTCGAAGATAAAAGCGGAGGCGCAACCGTTCACTCCGACAGCGTCCAACGCGACAGTCGCTGCGAGCAGCAATCATGTCGCGAACAAACGGACCGGTCCCCCCGCGGACATAGTTCCTTCGAATGTCCTCTTGGCAACCGCATGGGTTGACGTTCACACGACCGAAGGCCGAAGCTTTAAAGTTCGCGCCTTACTGGATCAAGGATCCACTTTCAGTTTTATTTCGCAATCGCTCTGTCAGACGCTGCGTACAAAGCGACAACACTCAAATTTGCAAGTTGCGTGTTTCGGCGAGAAATTTACAGGCGTCGCGAGATCTCGCGTCGTGCTGACATTAAAGCCGTGTTCCAGTGCGGAACCGGGCTTTCCGCTGCACGCCTACGTGTTTCAAAATATTACTTCGTACGCCGCGTCGCGGACTTAGCCCGTCGAGTCGTGGCCTCACTTGCAAGGCATCTCATTTGCCGATCCCGATCCTTCAAGTCGACATCGGATTCACCTGCTAATCGGTGCCGACTTGTACGGTTCTTTGTTGAAAAATGGCCTCCCTATTGGAACGCCTACCGCTCAATTGACAGCGTTAGGCTGGATTATCTCCGGCCCCACGGGTCGCGGCCGGATTGAATCCGAGAATATTTGCGTCTGTCATAACGTATCTACGCACGACACGAATTCGCTTCTCAGGCAATTTTGGGAGGACGCTGAGGTCTCGCGCCCCCCTCCACTTACCGACGAGGAGGAGCGTTGCGAACAACACTTCCTCGCCACTCATAGCCATTCTCCAGAAGGACGGTACATTGTTCGATTACCCTTCCGGCACGAACTATCAATCGACATAGGCGATTCACTGCGTATCGCCACGGTATTCTACGAGAAAATGAAAAGGAAGCTGCGTCGGCACGCCGAACTCTCCGCGCAGTATAATGACTTTTTGGCGGAATATCTCGCCTTGGGCCATATGAGCGCGATCGAAAGTCCCAGCGACACCGCTCTTACGCCCGTGTACATTTTGCATCATTCGGTTTTACGCGAAACGAGTAGTACCACGAAGTTACGCGTCGTTTTTAACGCCTCGTGCAAAACGACGAACGGCACGTCACTTAACAACCATCTGCTGGTCGGACCGAAGTTACAGCAAGATCTCCCCGCTATTCTGCTGCGCTGGCGGCAGTGGCGTGTTGTTTACGCAGCAGACATCGCCAAGATGTTCCGGCAAATCCTTGTGAATAATCTCGATACCGACTTCCAACGAATTCTCTGCCGTCCGTCCTGAGACACGCCGATCACGCATTTCCGGCTTTTGACCGTAACGTACGGGCTCGCTCCCGCTCCGTATCTCGCGATGCGCGTTTTGAAACAATTGTCGTTAGACGAAGGGTCTAACTATCCGGCGGCCGTCCCGATACTACGCGACTCCGTCTACGTCGACGACGCGCTATTCGATGGAGATGACGTTGCGTCGCTGATGGAATGTCGCGAGCAATTGACGGGACTCCTTCAGCGAGGGGGCTTTCAATTACGGAAATGGGCGTCGAATTCGCCTGAATTGCTGCGCGATTTGGCAACGCGTCAAACCGACATGGAGGATCACCTCCTGCAGCAGGACTCTTAAGGTACTCGGAATTTCGTGGCTTCCCCACGATGACACGTTTCGTTTTCAAGTGGACGTTTCGTTTCCGGTCATTCCGACGAAGCGTTCAGTCCTGTCAGTTATTGCTCGATTATACGACCCCCTCGGCTGGGCCGCCCCCGTCATTGTTGCAAAAATCCTTTTACCGGAATTATGGTTAACCCAATCCGATTGGGACACCCCTCTCCCTGACGAATTATGTCAGCAGTGGAAGGCATATTGTAATAATTTAGAGACGCTAAACGGTATCCGGATCCCTCGTTGGACCGGTCGACGAGGTAACGACGTCGCCTTTGAACTACACGGTTTCGCGGATGCCTCAAATCGAGCCTACGCCGCCGTCGTTTACATTCGCATTCTTCACATGCATGCGAACGTTCAAGTCTGTCTACTCGCCGCGAAAACTAAAGTCACGCCTCTTAAGACTCTCAGCATACCGCGACTCGAACTGAACGCTATCGTATTGCTGAGTCGATTGATTAAGTGGGTTCAGACGACCCTAAGTTCGCCCTCCGCGTCGGTGTTCGGCTGGTCAGATTCGGCGGTCGCGCTAGCATGGCTACGCCAGCACCCCGCGAAGTGGCAAACGTTCGTAGCCAATCGCGTGTCCGAGGTGCAACGTACTCTGCCGGAGGCGCGTTGGAATCATGTGTCTTCTAAAGATAACCCCGCTGACTGAGCCTCACGCGGCCTGTCGGCTGAAGAACTGTCCTCTCACCCCCTGTGGTGGACAGGGCCGAGGTGGCTTGCCCGGTCGTCTACGTCGTGGCCAACCGACGACCACTCTCTTTCTCTTGATAGTAGTACCAATCCACGGGTCTACGACGAGGCTCGCGCTCACGTCGTCCTCCACGTTGAGATTGAGGACGAGTAGGAACTGATTCGCAAATTCTCAACGTGGACTCGATTAATCCGAGTCACGGCTTACGTACGACGCTTCATTTCTCGAGTAAAGCGCCAGAAATCCGAGCGTACGTCACTCGTATTAACAGTACCTGAGCTTCGCGAAGCCAAAATGTTTTGGTTCCGCTACGCGCAAAAATTAGCATTTGCACCGGAAATTAGAGCATTAAGCACTAATTCTTCTCTTTCGCGATCCAGCCCTCTAAGGGCTTTGCATCCGTTCGTAGATGAGAACGCCTTACTCCGTCTTGGCGGGCGGTTGCAGAACGCCGCTCTCCGCTACGACGAGCAGCACCCGATAATACTTCCCAGGGATCGGATCGCCGAGCTGCTGATTCAGCGCGCGCACAAAGCCACCCTGCACGGTGGAACGCAGCTGGTCATCCGCACGCTGCGACAATGGCACTGGATAATCGGGTGTCGTAAGGCCGTTAAATCTCATATTCGCGCGTGCGTTACGTGCACGCGTTACTCCGCGCTGCCTTGCTCGCAACTAATGGGAGGGCTTCCCGCTTCTCGGGTTAACCCGTCACCGCCGTTCGACCACACCGGAGTGGACTACGCCGGTCTACCTTTAATGTTCTTCCGTTGGTCGGGCGCGGACAAAAAACAAGAAAGAACTACGCTTTATTCATTTGCCTCGCCACGAGGGCCGTGCACCTCGAGCTGGTCGAAGACTATTCCGCGGACGGTTTTCTGGCCGCGTTCCGTCGGTTCTCGTGTCGCCGCGGGTTGCCGCGTCGGATGTACAGTGATAACGGTACCAATTTCCACGGTGCCGACCGCGAACTGCAACGGCAATTTCACGCGTTGACGGATCACCCCGCAATGCGAGATGTTCTCGCCGCCAACGGCGTGGAATGGGAGTTCGTCCCGTCGGCCGCTCCGCATTTTGGCGGTCTGTGGGAAGCTGGAGTGAAGAGCTTCAAAGCTCACTTAAAGCGAGTCGTCGGGGCTCGCACGATTTCTCGGGCGGAATTCGCGACGCTTCTGTGTCAAATAGAAGCCTGCTTGAACTCGCGTCCGATTGCTGCTCTCAGCGACGACCCCAGCGACATGTCCGCGCTCACGTCCTGACACTTCTTGATAGGGCGTCCGATAATCGCGGTTCCGGAGGAGTCCGTGCTCGAGATCAACCCAGACCGCCTTTCCCGCTGGCAGCTAGTGAGTTCCATGCGGGAGCAATTCTGGCGTGCCTGGTCGCATGATTATTTGTTGTCGCTTCAGACGAGAACCAAGTGGCGAGACGTCGCGCCAAATTTAGAAGTCGGTGATCTCGTCATTGTAAAGAACCCTTTGCTCCCTCCGAGCAAATGGGAACTCGCGAGAATCCAGCAGGTTCATCCCGGGTCCGACGGACTCGTTCGGGTGGTTACGATACGCACTGCGCGTTCTCTACTGAAGCGACCTATAAGGCAACTGTACAAGTTGCCTATAAATTGTAAAACGTCGGCGTCAGAGAGCGACTGATCGCCCTTTCTCCTTCTTGTTCGTTTTTTTTGTTTTGTTTTGCGCCGATCCTTGTCAGCATCGCGCGCTTGGTTTGTACATATCACGTATAAAACGTTCAATATATCAAGTTTAATTATATACATACTTTGTAACACGTTAACGGCTGTACTCATTGAAATTCCAGTTTAATTCTGTTCGTTATATTACTTTAGGCTTATGTCGCGTCGGCTATCTTATTCGCGGAACAAGCGAAACCGACCGATGGATTGTA